AAGCTGCGGCCATTATCCTTAATCGAAAGAGTTCACTCCGTTCGAACAAAAGGATGAATAGCAGGTCTTCTGAGAATGACTAATTGACTAATTGAATAATACTTGTCTTGACATACGGAGAAATAAGAGCTACTTGAGCCCACAAGGAAAAGTCAAAAGAAGTTAAGCTAAAAGAGACACAATCAAAAGCTAAGCTAAAGGTAGTGCTTGCCCTCTGCACAATTTTCCTATCTAAAAGTCATGCTACTTGCGGCGGCTCCTACGTGCGGAGAGGAAGAAGCCTCTCGACGACTGCCCAGGTTTGCTTTCTTTTCCCCTTTTTTAGTTGCTGTCTTCGATCAAAATTACCAAAAAGGTCTTGCATCTCCTTGTTCCAAGAATGCCCTTGATTGCCTGCTATTTGAACTCTTTCCTGATAACTATCAAATTGGCACTTATTATGGTATTTTCGTTCTACTCTCTGAAATATATGCCAAATACTAAAAGTGAGTAGAATCCAACAATTAATTCACATCGGGTCGGATAATAGGGAAAATTAATAATAAAATAAATGATAAAATTGCAACCTATCAGAAACAAACCCATCCGTGGAATGTTGGTAACATCACTTTGTTTCCTAAAAGGCTTGTTGGTAACCTACTAGCTGAAATAAGGACTTCAAGCTAATAGCCATCACCATTCTTGACAATCATAATTAATGGGTATAAATGAAGATATTAAACATAAATCATGTTTAAGGATGCATCATACCACAGAAACAATCTTGCATTCTCAGAAGTTAACAGGCTTCCCATTTTCACAATCTCTATATAGTATGAAGTAGAACAGCAAAAAGGCAAGCTCTGAATTAACAATTCAATTGCTCAGAAACTATCATAACTTAAAACTGAAAACAACCCAACCTTTAGGAGGAATAGCACTTCATCATTCTTGAAAGATCTCAGATTAGAAAAATTGCACTTAAAGAGGTGAACGCAGGGAAAAGTGTTCAGAAGAAAGGGCTGTGATGCTTCCCGAAGGAGAGTAAATCTTGTTTACAAACCCAGTTGAAGGAGATTCATATGTATGAGCATCTTGCAATTCTGCCATTATCCTCCATACGTCTCCAGCTCCATGATAAGGACCTGCAACAAGAACAAACATTGTTCCAGGAAGTAAAATGACATTATATCAGAAAAAAAAGGAAGAGTGAACAGAAATAATTGTAAGCAATCATCTAAAGAACGTTGTCCTCATTGAGAAATATCAACGAACAACTATGTTGCATAGTCCCTCAAATTGGGATGTTACAATAACAAAAAAACGAAAAGAAATTTGAATTGCATTGACATCAAAACAATCTAGACTAAGCTAGCTGATGAACAGTGAACTGAACAACAACTATCCGATTGCTCAAAAAGGGTTCAAATTTTGCTAAAATTAGTATACTTGTGTAGTCAATTCACATATGAATTGCACGAACCAATACAAACTTATTAAAAAAAAAAACCTAGAAATGTAAATCACAACCTAGCTTAAATATACACTGAAATTCGCTATATACATGCGAAAAATAATCACAGTCAAAGAAGAGATTTTTCCCACCAAGTAGATTGCATAGGGATAAATTGAAGAAGACTAAAAAAGAAAAAGCCTGAAACATCCATAGATTGCACATCATTTCTTATAAATTCTAAATTATAGATAGAATATGCAAAAAAAAGAGGTAAAATATGTTTTGAGGGACAATGAATCCTCTGCCACCAGCAACAACTTAATTTCAACAGAATCTAAAACTACCATCTTATTAAATTGTTTCATGAGTCACCATCTAATTAGCTGCAAAATACTTCAGGGAATAGTAGAAACTAATTGTCATAAACATTAACTTACATCTCTCAGTAGCATAATGTTGTTAGTGAAGCCAATACAGTCAAAAAATATGAAGTCTCAGACACAAATGCAAACATGAAAATAAAAAAGAGAAAATAATAAAAGTAAACAAAAGAAATCAAGATCAAACCAGCTGTAAAAGTGACTGTATTTCTTTTTTCTTTACCCAAAGCCTCTAGCCACTCAGGCTATAGATGATTCACCACCATGAACATCAAGCCTCAAACCTCACCACTATATATTTTACCCTATTAAAATCACCCATCTTGGATGCTTTAATTTGCACTACGAAGAGAGGTAATTCAAAGATATCCAATGCTTTAATGTCCGGCTCAAATGTAATTTGGGGATGGTAAGTAGATGGCAAACCAATTTCTAAGTTAAATTCCAAATTAAGAATCAAAATCCTAAATTAAATTTCACTGCACGTTTTTATGAAAGAGATAGAAATTGATTGAGATTTGGGAGAACATCTGGGAAGGCAACACAACTAAAGACGGAGAATCAGTGAGAGAAGAAAAGGGAAATGGGGGCAAACCTCGATAAGCTTTCTCCGATTGCTGTAGTAGAGAGGAGTGAGAAATGCGAGGGGAGAGGACAAAGGAAGGTGGCAATTTTGGAAAGAGGAATTGTAGCATCCTCCATTGCAGCATACTTTTCACACCGGCATCGATCTATCCACATATATCTCCTCAAAAGACACATATTTTCGCTTGATTGGCATTATACATAAACCAGAATCGAGAATTGATTGATAAAGATATAGGGATGAAGCATCATGTTAGCAATCATCCACTGATTAGGATGCAAAGGATACACTGATTGGGATGCAAAGTTCGCTACCATTAAACAGGCGTACGGACTTAACTCAACCAGCAACAAGAGAGAATAAATTTGCAGAAGGAAGCAACGCAAAACAGGAGAATGGAAAGTTTACCTATTTTTCACAATTCCAGCACTATTATACGAGGATTCAACTTTGATTCAGCCTACAGTAACAGAAAGTTACCTTCCAACGGCAGCAACAAAAGGTAGTCAGACAAAACAAAGTCCAACTATTCCGCAGCCACACCACGCTCCTGCACAATTAAGAGCAAGATCATAACCCAATTAAAACAGACATTATAGAGGAGAAATAAAAACTCTAATCGATATGCATACAACCACCGAAGCCACAATATATTAAAAACACACCACCACAACTAAGCCACCAACGTTGAACCAGAAGAAATCAAAATCAACACAACAAACAAAAGCAGAACAAATAGAAACCAAAAATTTAAGGAGTCAATTCATTGCAGTCCAATCTCACAGGGAACCAAAAAAAAAACCAATAAATAAGGTTGCTCTACGTCCACGCATTGGAAACAAACTCAGTTCAATTCAACCTGAAAAACGCAAGTGCAAAAGCTAAATGGACTCCGTGCAAAAGCTAAATGGACTCCTATGGCAAAATGGAGGATCGATCTGAAGTGAAAGAAAGAAAATCAGGAGAAACTCCTGGGACCTTAATGGGTGCCAAGATGGCAGAACTACAAAAACGGAAGGAGAAACTCACGAAGGCTAAGGATGAGGCGGTACAATCGTGGTCAGATTCCAGACCTGTGATTGATGAGCTTGACAAGCTACAGTCGGAACTTCCAGATGCACAGAGTCGAACAGCCTCATCCAACGTTACTATTTCAGAGCTTGACTCTCAGCTTGAAAGGTTGAGTATCTCTATCAGGGCTAAGAAGGAGGAAGAACTGAAGATCCAACAATGATCAACAGGATAAATCAGGTCTTGCAACAGACGCAGGAAGAGATGGAGGAGTTCAAGATGGAAAGAGATGAAAAACACAGAACAGGATTGAAACTAAAACGAGTTCTATGTCTAAGGTGGCAGACTCTTCGCACTTTGCAACTCACCCTTCAAGCAATACAATTAGAATCAGAAGCTTATGTTGCATCAGCTCATGAAGCACAACGCTACATCAGCCTTTTCCAGACAGATGACACTCTGGTCAAGCTTACTCAAGAAGAGTACCATGCATTAACAAAAAGAGCAAGAGACGAAACTTCGTTGGCAGAATGGCGAATTGCAGTCTCTATGGAACGAAAGCAGGCAGCCGAGGAAAGTCAAGAGACAGCTGCTAGAAGATTGCAGAACTTGCATTCAAAGAATGGATCAGGGAAAGGAAAACATCCCGCTAATGGGGTCTTAAAAGTTTAAAGAGCAATTTTCTACAATTAATGGCAATATAATTTGTAATCGTATTTGTGAGAGGAAAATTTGAAGCTTGTGCTTTTGTTGTATTATAAATTTAATCACAACTTCTAACCAAATTTATTTTAACAACACAAATAAAAAATCGTACTTGGTTAAATATTGAATTCCGCTATATAAGATTTTTGTAATACTAACAATAGTTGTTCTTGTAATGACAACTAACAATGGAATATATTATTTTGTTCGCTAAAAAATATTAGCTGATTATATACGTACATAACACATGATTTTTTCTAGTAATTCGAAGTGTTCTAGAGATACCATTAGGAATAAAGTTTACGAAATGTGGCATGAGCAGCTGAGCTTTGTCCGATCTTTTAGGTTGGTATAGTTCTTTTTATTGGTAAACCCTATTAATTCTTTTTAAACAAACTTACTGCTTCTTTAGCTAAAAACTACGATACATTTGGCAAATTATACTAGTTTCTCAGAAAATTCTACTAGTTTCCCATTTAAATGAGATTCACAATCTGGAAAATCATTTTTATTTTTTTATAATCTCCCCACAATTTACAATGAGTTCAGAGTGCTACTTTTGGTCAATTTAGAAGAATTTTCATAAAGTCATAAAATATCACTTAAGCATTTTCAGAAGTAATGTAACATTCTTTTTAAAACGGCATTCTATGTCACTTGTCACCCGTTGCGATGTTCCAATGTCATTAGATGCATTTCCAAGGCCAAGCTTAAATAGTTAAATTAATTTATGTTTCGTTTTTCTCAAGCCCTAAATCTAAATTTAAAATAGCCTAATCAACAATATAAAGCGAACAATTTAGTAGAGCGAAATGAAAAGAACTCTGAAACACATAATGTAGTCATAATCGGCGTTTTACAACGCCTTTTTTTCTTTTTTCAATTTTTTCTTTTTTTTTTCGGTTTTTTGTTTTGACTTTGATGTACCCCTAACTATTACACATAGATAAAAAGGAAAGAGAGAAATTTACTACATAAGACCCTATGCAGTATGAAAAAACAAAGTAGACCCTGCACTGAAAACATTAGAAGACACAACTACTGATAATCATAGACTGAATGGACACCATTTTATTTTGTTTTTCCTTTTTTTTCAATTTTTTTTCTTTTACTGTGGTACCAAACGACTGAAGGATGATGGTAATGAGTGCATCCACCCTAATTAGGGCGAATTTCGATGCCCCTGATAATAATGCCAGACTTCCAGATTGTATCACTGGTTTCAAAAATCCTAGCTTCTACCGTGGAACTTCTTCCGCGGTTGTTGACGAAGTCACCCAAGTTCAATTCCTTCCATCCATCACTACGGGGTTGAGGATGTATGCCCGGATCCTTCGAATCTTGTGACTTATCAATTGACACGGTATAGCCTTCATTATCAGTTCCCTTAGCCTTTTCCTCAGAAAATCTTACCGATGCAGTTGCTTTTTCAAGCCCCCTTGGCTTGGCACTAAGTTTGAACACGAGATATGTCGAATAGGAACTGCCCCTTGGTAGGTCCCTAGCAGGCACACTGGCTCGAATGTCAAACCAACAAACTTCAACAAGCTCGGCAACCTCGAAGCTGTACAAAGGCATTAAAATCAGTTTAGGATAATCTTCGAAAGTCATCAACTAACTAAAGGGGGAAAGTGAGATAATAATATAAATGGAATAGGACTATATACAGGACGGGTACGTGTGAAGTTAGTTCAGGAGGTTTACCCAGAAGGTACATCAGTGTGCCATTTCCAATAGCGTGGATCATTACCGTGAGAGATCACTAGATCCCTTGCGTTGATGGTGTAAACCTGTGATGGAAAATCGAGCATCGACAAGTTAATTAATCTTTTCAGGCAAAGTAACAAAAGACTGATGAGTAGTTCCAGTATTAATGCAAACTAAGAACTACTGTTATAGTTATATACCATGTTGAATAGAAGTAGCTCTGGAGTAGTGTTGGAAGGACTGTACGTTTTGTGGAATGAGGGATTGAAGATTGCGGGAATGGATATTTATAGGCCTATCTGATTAACTGACGTTTGCAGATATTTCCAATCTTACCTCATCAGAGATGTGTAAAAACGTGTTTCGTGCTGGTGTGAAGGTCAGATGCTGATGTGAATGAGGGTGGCCTTTCACAAAACCACAAATATGAGTGTATCAGAGTCCAATTATTCTCTGCCATCTCTTTCTATAGTCAATTTTTGTAAAAACCATAGCGAATGCTTATGGGAAAGTCTTCTTTGCATGTCTAAAGATTAGATGATAAAATGAAAATGGTAGAGCTGGTAAATGGCACAATTGGCAATGTAAAAGAAGGATAGAGCTTGCATCATAGGAAAAACATTGGATTTGTACCATGGAAACTGTAGCATTTCAATTTTTTTTTCTCGCACACTTGTTCAAAAAATTTAGCATAATTGAAGAAAACAAAAGATATAAAGAGGCAAACAAAGAAAAGGATTGAAGATTGCCAAGGAAAATGAATTATTGGACGAGTCTTAATGATACCATTAAGGATAAATTTAAGGATAAGGAGCAGGTGTAATTGTGTTTTGTCTAGTTTTATTTGTATGGTATAAATCATACAAAATTTAATGTAAACTTACATGACTTTCGTGTAGTTATTGGTGCCGTTGATGTATGTAGATTAGCTCTATAGCACATCCATGAAATCTTGTAATAAATATACAAAATAGAGTCTTATAACAAATATACAAAATCTTGTAAGAATTACGCTAACAGGACAAAATTGAATAAAGCTTAACTATACTTGTACCCTTGCAAAATTTTTATGTTGTGTGAACGCACTTGGTTGGTTTGACCTGCTGGCAAATACCTAAATGAACTCTTGTCCAAGAAAAACCTTTCCAACACCTCTAGTTGTTACTATATACTACACTATGACCATCACTTGTGGAAAAGTTGGGAGGGATTTTTTTTTTGGTCAAGGTCAAGACTTAACAAAAGGCCTTTATGGGATAGAAGAATCATTTTACGTCCAAAACGGGACACATAAAAGTCTATCAAGACCAAGACTTATAAAAAAGACGTACACTATACTGTACACTTACAATACATATTTCAAAAATAAATTAATTAGTTAAATACATGCTCAATCAAGCAATTTTGTCAAGACCAACATTGTAAACAGCTGCAGACTAGTAGTAATATGAACATCAAACTTAAAAGTTTTGAAATTTCACAAGATGCGACAAGTGGAAATTGTGCAAAGTGACATGAAAGCAAGATTCTAGATCAAAATAGTTGTTACTTAATTTGAATTCACAGATTCATTCATCCAAAAAAAAAAAAATTTTCACAGATTCAAATTGAAAATCTGAATGATAAAAAGACAATAACATAAATTAGCCAAAATCACTAGCGCAAATTTCACTGTTCATTTAAAAAAACTTACTATTATAATTGCAAAGTTCACCTTGTCTTTCCTAGTTGTTACCACTTTTTTGGTAAATCATATTAATTTTTTGAACAAACTTTCTACTTCATTATCTAAGCACTGCAATTTAGTTTGGTAAACCCTACTACTTTTCCAACAAATGAGATTCAAAATTTGGAAACTAAAATTTATTTTTTTATCATCTCCGAACAATTTAGTATTAGTTCATATAAATTTTGGTCAATTTCGGAGAATTGTCATAAATTGATAGAAATTCAAACAGGATTTCTTTTAAGAAGTAATGTTACAATTTCTTTTAAAATAGGATTATATATCATTTGACATTCGATGCACTTCTACAGCCTTTCTTAGGTATTGCAATTAATTAGGGTTGGCACTTGAAACCTAAAAGAGCCTAATCAACAAGGTTGAAAACAAACAATTCGTTAAAATGAGAACAAAAAGCTCCAAACCACACAACGCGCAGATGTTACTTTGGAGTTTTGGAGGGACTATTTCATTGAAAGAGGATTGAAGATTGAGGAAATGGATAATTAAGTGGCCTTTGTGGATATTTCCACAGTGGCCTCATCATGGACATCAAAAACGTGTTCCATGTTGGTCCTTCTCATTCTTTTACACGTACTAAGATAAACGTAATCCTTGGCAAAATTCACACCGTCGTTAGTTTATCCTTCTAGTTGAAGGGCACAAAATGTACCAATCATAGTAGTAGCTCCGACAATGACATTAGGTAACATCAATTGCTCAATATCCGTGAATGCAATGTTAAGTTAAAACTTAGATTTTATTTTTTTTTTTTGTCAAATAAAACTTAGAGTTTAGTTATGACTACACTGAACTGCTAAACCATCATCAGGTCACAACGTTGCCACTCCAATTATACCCAAAAGATCATCATGGTAACTTGCAATCAATTTGAATCACACACCATTCTCGATATAACTAAATCATGGAATATTTTGAACCATAATTCACACTTCTAGATCCTAAACATTGATAAATTACAAGTATGATAGGCTTATTTGTTACCTACACTTGCGACTATTTCTAGGAGAATAAGAAATTCCATAGGCCCATTGATCAAGGAAGTTCGTTTAAATATATCACCATGAATCTTGTGAAATAACATATATTTCCAGTAGGGAAAATCATTCAAAAAGTCCCTCACATTTTACAAAATGACTTTTTTCGTCCCTTACTTTTAAAAATGTACTTTTACATCCCTTACAAATTTATATTGATTAAATTTGGTTCCTATCTAAGTTTCCGACTAGTTTTTTGTCGGAATCCACCACGTGCCTTGCACGTAATCATTTTTTAAGAGCAAAATTATCAAATCAAAATTTACATAATTCAATCCATAGTCTCTCACATTTCACAAAATGAATTATTTTGTTCCTCACATTTCACAAAATGAATTGTTTCGTCCCTCACATTTCACAAAAATGAATTTTTTCATCCCTCATATATTACAAAATAAATTTTTTCATTTCTCATTGTTCATGTGTATGAATAACTTTTTTTAAACTAATTTATATATCTATTTGATCTCACATGGACAATACAAATAGCATGTAATATATCTCTATTTAATTTTCGATTCAACATACTGTTTATGTGAAATTAAAATAGATATATATATAGGGGTTTAAAAAAATTGTTAGTTTTTCACTCATGTTCATTCCTTTTACTTGAAAATTGAAAACAAAGAAGACATTTAATTCTAAACATTATCAAGTGTTTATATTGAATTAAATTTAGACAGAAAAAATAAACAAAGGAAAAGTATCACAAAAAGAAGTAAGTAATTGACACTTTCAAATTTTAAAATAATCATAAGGTAAGAAATTCAATTGTTGGACTTAAAGGTAGTGAGTAAAAATTTCAGATTTAAATTATAATTTGTTAGCATGACTATAGAATTCGAATTAACACCGATTAATTAGATACTCTTATTAAACAACTCAATAAATGAATTATTACTAAAATAGAAAAGATTACAAATATTGAATAGATTCACATGGTGAAATCACACACACACACACACACACACACACATATATATAGGTTTAAAACAAAATTATTAGATTTAAACCCATGTACATATTGATCTGTTTAGGTGAAATCAAATAGAGATATATTATATATTATTTGTACTGTTTAGATAAAATCAAATATATATATTCATGAATTTTAAAAAATAAAAACTATTTGTACACATGGTCAATGAGAGATAAAAAAATTCATTTTGAGAAATCTGAGGGATGAAAAAATTTATTTTGTGAAATGTAAGGGACGAAACGATTCATTTTGTGAAATGTAAGGGACTATAGATGGATTACATAAATTTTGATTTGACAATTTTGCCCCTAAAAAATGATCACATGCAAGTCATGTGATGAATTCCGGCCAAAAACTAGTCGGAAACCTAGATAGGGACCAAATTTGACCAACGTGAATTTGTAAGGGACGTAAAAGTACACTTTTAAAAGTAAGGGACGAAAAAAGTCGTTTTACAAAATGTGAGGGACGTTTTGAACGATTTTCCCTTTCCAGTATACACAATCCGACTAGTTAGTTGAATATATCAAATATTAATTGATATGAATCAATCATCATAAATGCCAAACAATCATCTCATGTCAGTTACCTTATGCCCAAAAAGATTGAATCAATAGTTAGTTATATTTTCCATAAAAAAAAAAAAAACAAGCCTTATTGTCAGTTATGTTTTCCACGAGTATCTTGTCAGGAAAACAAACCATAAATGGAGGAATCTTGTAGACCTCAGAAGAATGTTAGAGACGAGGTTTTTCCTTTGCACTAAATTTTAAAAATCTAAATATTCTATTTTTTGCAAGTATACAGATTGTTTATCAAGAATAGGATATATTAGGTATCGATCTCACATGCAAGATTGTCAATTACTGATGATTTTCAAACTTCTTTATTATTTAAGTTATCACAAATACAAGAAAATAAATCTACTTTACAAACATGAAATAAAAGGAGTAAAAATAGCAATAGAAAGCTTCTAGGGCTATGGCATTCCTAACTAGGGTGATGATATCTCTGGAACTTACTCCTTCGAAAGACTCCTCAAGAGGGGTTAAATGTGAATCATTCATGCTCATCTCTTGATGTTCAACCTTAGTTTCAAAGATACAATCACGTAAAATGGACATTTCGTCATTGGAACACAAATTAGATTTATCATTTTGATCAACATGCAATCCACTTTCACATACAACATTCCCACCATTCACAATAGGATCAACTTACATATTATTAGAAGATATAACTTCACACAAGGCATGCAATTGGTCTTAAATTCTACCAAATTGAGAAGCTAATTCATCTAATATATTCTCAACCCTATCAAAATGGTCAGAAGTCGTATTAGCTAAACTTTCAATTGCTAATTTCCAAGACAAAAGTGCATTAACTAACCTTTCAATTGCTAACTTCCAAAATGGCTTTGATTCAAGTTGGACAAATTCGAATTGGTAATTATAAAAATACAGAGGAGCATTATATCCACATTGATTATCTCA